ATGAATCCGGGTCATGGGTCCGGGTCATGAATCCGGGGTCATGGGGCCGTGGTCATGAATCTGGGGTCATGGGTCCGGGTCATGAATCCGGGGTCATGGTCCGGGGTCATGAATCCGGGGTCATGGGCCGGGGTCATGAATCCGGGGTCATGGGTCCGGGGTCATGAATCCGGGGTCATGGGTCCGGGGTCATGAACTGGGCATGGTCCGGGTCATGAATCCGGGTCGCGGGTCCGGGGTCATGAACTGGGGTCATGGGGTCGGGTCATGAACCCGGGTCATGGTCCGGGTCATGAATCGGGTCATGGGTCCGGGTCATGAATCCGGGTCATGGGCCGGGTCATGAATCCGGGGTCATGGGTCCGGGTCATGAATCCGGGGTCATGGGTCCGGGTCATGAATCCGGGTCATGGGTCTGGGTCATGAATGGGTCATGGGTCCGGGGCATGAATCCAGGGTCATGGGTCTCGGGGTCATGAATCCAGGGAATTGGGTCCGGGGTCATGAATCCGGGAAAAAAAAATATAAATTAAGATTGTGTTTATTAATGAAGAAATATTTGTTAAAACAATTACTTATGGTGATTATTAAATTGTTGGAAATTGATTACATTTACACGTTGTAATGATGTTAGGAAGGGGTCCTTGTAGTATTTCAATGGATGGGATTAGTAATGACGATAAATTATTGCATAACAAAGAAGGGTGGCCATATCTTAAACCTGCAATGGACCATTGTAAGGTTGTCGGGTTGTCTACCCGTTCCTCTCAAAGAAAGAAATGTAGTGATTCTTTCATTTTCTGTACATATTCTATTCAATCTTTAGTTGAAGTATAAAAATCCTGTAATATAACGATGATTGTTGTCTCACAACGGTGAAATATTTAGTAGTCGGTGAAATATTTGTGGTGAAATATTTAGTAGTCGGAGAAACTTCGGAAAAACGGTTTTCGAACGTTTCTCCTTTTGGTTGATGTTTTTACAGACTTACAGTCGAGACAGTAACTCGTGACAGTTGACAGTTCACTAGTTTAACATTTTCACGCAAATATAGACTAATTGTATTGGAGATATTTTAAAGTTCTTTGGAGAGTATAATGGAAGGAGCTTTGCAATCAGTTTTTGATCGCTTTTGGCAATGGAGGTTGAAGGAAGCGCCTGAATTTGGCACTATGATAGGAGAACATGGCTATGATGATGATTTAGGTGACATGAGTTTAAATTCTTACGCTAAACGATTGGTTTGTACTATTTGGGTTGCTTGTTTAACGTACGTCGTTTAAAATTAAGTCTCCGATACTTACTTAAAATTTCATGATATTATTTATGTACATTTTCACAGTACATATTGACTTATACAAATTTGCACTACTTAAAAGTCACGTACATTCCTATTATTCCATATTGAACAATACTTTGTCATGATAATTTGTTAGGAAAATGCCAAAGAGTTCGTTGCAGAACTGGAAAATATTGATATGAATCTACTAAGCAAGGTTTGTTGCAGTTCTCTTTATAAATGTGTTGGTTATTTACTAGATTTTTGTTGCATTAGGAAGATAATATGAACTGTAAATTGTTGCATCTTGAGCTGTCTACATATGTCAGTGGCATGGGGTTCAAATGGTATGTAAATTTGGTGTAATGCTGCTGTTTTTGTGTACTAGCTTGGTTATTTCCAAAGTGTTATCTTATTTGCACACATTTGCCCACCATGCTTTTCATCTTTCCTACTTTCTGTCTTATTCTTAGTCATTTGTTTCCTGTGAATTGTTTGGAAGGGCCGCATATTGACTTTAAGAAAACTATCTCATGGATGAAAACAGAGAACATGAAAGATATTGAAAAAGTTCTATCAAGATTTAATAAATTTCCAGTTAAGGTAGCTACTGGGACATACCAAGAAGCAGTGCGCAAATTAGTTCAGAAAAAATGATGTGCAATTTTTTTGACAAAAGTGTTTCTTTAGAGACATAATCAAATCGATATTACATTAATTATTACATAGCGCTAATTGCTAAATTAATATTTTTAAACGTGAACAAATTCATGATTTACGACAGTGTTTTTTGTTGAAACCGCTGATTTTTGCACATCATTTGAAAAAGTGATGTGCAATTGTTTTCATTTTAGCTAAAACAATGTGCAAATTGCACATTGCACACCATTAATTTGCACACTGCCCAGAAGGTTTTTCAGTGGCTTTTCCATTGTCTCATCTCAATTTAGATTGATCAAACAATCGGTCCGGGGTCATGGTCTGGGGTCAAGTGTACGGGGTTATTGGTCCAGGGTCATGGATCCAAGGTCATTGGTCCGGGGTCATGGGCCACGGTCATTTGTCATGGGTCCAGGGTCATGAATCCGGGGTCATTGGTCCGGGGTCATGAATCCGGGGTCATGGGTCCGGCGTCATGAATCCGGGGTCATGGGGCCGTGGTCATGAATCCGGGGTCATGAATCCGGGGTCATGGGTCCGGGGTCATTAATCCAGGGTCAATGGTCCGGGGTCATGAATCCGGGTCATGGGGCCGTGGTCATGAACCCGGGTCATGGGTCCGGGTCATGAATGGTCATGGGTCCGCGTCATGAATCATGGTCATGGGGCCGGTCATGAATCCGGGGTCATGGGTCCGTGGTCATGAAATCGGGGTCATGGGTCCGGGGTTATGAATCCGGGGTGATGGGTCCGGGGTCATGAATCCGGGTGAAGGGCCCGGGTCATGAATCGGGTGATGGGTCGGGGTCATGAATCCGGTCATGGGTCGGGGTCATGAATTCGGGGTCATGGGGCCGTTGTCATGAACCCGGGGTCATGGGTCGGGGTCATGGGTCCAGGGTCATGAATCCGGGTCATGGGTCCGGGGTCATGAATCGGGATCATGGGTCCGGTCATGAATCGGGATCATGGGTCGGGGTCACAAATCCGGGTCATGGGTGGGGCATGAATCCAGGGTCATGGGTCTCGGGTCATGAATCGGGGAATTGGGTCCGGGTCATGAATCCGGGAAAAAAAAATATAAATTAAGATTGTGTTTATTAATGAAGAAATATTTGTTAAAACAATTACTTATGGTGATTATTAAATTGTGGGAAATTGATTACATTTACACGTTGTAATGGTGTTAGGAAGGGGTCCTTGTAGTATTTCAATGGATCGGATTAGTCATGACGATAAATTATTACATAACAAAAAAGGGTGGCCATATCTTAAACCTGCAATGGACCATTGTAAGGTTGTCGGGTTGTCTACCCGTTCCTCTCAAAGAAAGAAATGTAGTGATTCTTTCATTTTCTGTACATATTCTATTCAATCTTTAGTTGAAGTATTAAAATCCTGTAATATAACGATGATTGTTGTCTCACAACGGTGAAATATTTAGTAGTCGGTGAAATATTTGTGGTGAAATATTTAGTAGTCGGAGAAACTTCGGAAAAACGGTTTTCGAACGTTTCTCCTTTTGGTTGATGTTTTTTTACAGACTTACAGTCGAGACAGTAACTCGTGACAGTTGACAGTTCACTAGTTTAACATTTTCACGCAAATATAGACTAATTGTATTGGAGATATTTTAAAGTTCTTTTGGAGAGTATAATGGAAGGAGCTTTGCAATCAGTTTTTGATCGCTTTTGGCAATGGAGGTTGAAGGAAGCGCCTGAATTTGGCACTATGATAGGAGAACATGGCTATGATGATGATTTAGGTGACATGAGTTTAAATTCTTACGCTAAACGATTGGTTAGTACTATTTGGTTTGCTTGTTTAACGTACTTTGTTTAAAATTAAGTCTCCGATACTTACTTACAATTTCATGATATTATTTATGTACATTTTCACAGTACATATTGACTTATACAATTTTGCACTACTTAAAAGTCACGTACATTCCCTATTATTCCATATTGAACAATACTTTGTCATGATAATTTGTTAGGAAAATGCCAAACAGTTCGTTGCAGAACTGGAAAATATTGATATGAATCTACTAAGCAAGGTTTGTTGCAGTTCTCTTTATAAATGTGTTGGTTATTTACTAGATTTTTGTTGTATTAGGAAGATAATATGAACAGTAAATTGTTGCATCTTGAGCTGTCTACATATGTCAGTGGCATGGGAAAATTGTAAAAAATTGTTCACATTTTTTCACAAAAATACTATAATTCACGTATTTTCAAAAATTTTCACAATTTATCACAAAAAGACTATAATTCACGCATTTTCAAAAATTTTCACAATTTTTCACAAAAAGACTATTATTCACACATTTTAAAAACTTTTCACAATTTTTACAATTTTTCACAAAAGACTATAATTCAAGCATTTTCAAAATTTTCACAATTTTTCACAAAAGACTATAATTCACGCATTTTCAAAATTTTCACAATTTTTCACAAAGACTATAATTCACACATTTTCAAAAATTTTCACAATTTTTACAAATTTTCACAAAAGACTATAATTCAAGCATTTTCAAAATTTTCACAATTTTTACAATTTTTCACAAAAGACTATAATTCACACATTTTCAAAAATTTTCACAATTTTTCACAAAAGACTATAATTCACGCATTTTCACAAATTTTCACAATTTTTTACAATTTTTCACAAAAGACTATAATTCACGCATTTTCAAAAATTTTCACAATTTTCACAAAAGACTATAATTCACGCATTTTCAAAATTTTCACAAATTTTACAATTTTTACAAAAGACTATAATTCACGATTTTCAAAATTTTCACAATTTTTCACAAAAGACTATAATTCACTCATTTTCAAAAATTTTCACAATTTTCACAAAGACTATAATTCACATTTTCAAAATTTTCACAATTTTTACAATTTTTCACAAAAGACTATAATTCACGCATTTTCAAAATTTTCACAATTTTTCACAAAAAGACTATAATTCACGCATTTTCAAAAATTTTCACAATTTTTCACAAAAAGACTATAATTCACTCATTTTCAAAAATTTTCACAATTTTTCACAAAAAGACTATAATTCAAGCATTTTCAAAATTTTCACAATTTTTACAATTTTTCACAAAAAGACTATAATTCATGCATTTTCAAAATTTTCACAATTTTTACAATTTTTCACAAAAGACTATAATTCACGATTTTCAAAAATTTCACAATTTTCACAAAAGACTATAATTCACTCATTTTCAAAAATTTTCACAATATTTTACAATTTTCAAAAGACTATAATTCACGCATTTTCAAAAATTTTCACAATTTTACAATTTTACAAAAGACATAATTCACGATTTTCAAAAATTTTCACAATATTTTACAATTTTTCAAAAGACTATAATTCACATTTTCAAAAATTTTCACAATTTTTCACAAAAGACTATAATTCACGATTTTCAAAATTTTCACAATTTTTACAATTTTTCACAAAAGACTATAATTCACGATTTTCAAAATTTTCACAATTTTTCACAAAAGACTATAATTCACGATTTTCAAAATTTTCACAATTTTTACAATTTTTAACAAAAGACTATAATTCAAGCATTTTCAAAATTTTCACAATTTTTACAATTTTCACAAAGACTATAATTCACACATTTTCAAAATTTTCACAATTTTTCACAAAAGACTATAATTCACGCATTTTCAAAAATTTTCACAATTTTTACAATTTTCACAAAAAGACTATAATTCACGCATTTTCAAAAATTTTCACAATTTTTTACAAAAGACTATAATTCACGCATTTTCACAAATTTTCACAATTTTTCACAAAAGACTATAATTCACGATTTTCAAAATTTTCACAATTTTTCACAATTTTTCACAAAAGACTATAATTCACGCATTTTCAAAATTTTCACAATTTTTCACAAAGACTATAATTCACGATTTTCAAAAATTTTCACAATTTTTCACAATTTTAACAAAAGACTATAATTCAAGCATTTTCAAAATTTTCACATTTTTTACAATTTTTCAAAGACTATAATTCACACATTTTCAAAAATTTTCACAATTTTTCACAAAAAGACTAATTCAAGCATTTTCAAAAATTTTTACAATTTTTTACAATTTTTCACAAAAAGACTATAATTCATGCATTTTCAAAAATTTTCACAATTTTTCACAAAAAGACTATAATTCACGCATTTTCAAAAATTTTCACAATTTTTCACAAAAAGACTATAATTCACGCATTTTCAAAAATTTCACAATTTTTCACAAAATGACTATAATTCACGATTTTCAAAATTTTCACAATTTTCACAAAGACTATAATTCAATGATTTTCAAAAATTTTCACAATTTTTCACAAAAGACTATAATTCACGCATTTTCAAAAATTTTCACAATTTTTACAATTTTTCAAAAGACTATAATTCAAGCATTTTCAAAATTTTCACAATTTTTACAATTTTTTCACAAAAGACTATAATTCACACATTTTCAAAAATTTTCACAATTTTTCACAAAGACTATAATTCACGCATTTTCAAAATTTTCACAATTTTTCACAAAAGACTATAATTCACATTTTCAAAAATTTTCACAATTTTTCACAAAAAGACTATAATTCACTCATTTTCAAAAATTTTCACAATATTTTACAATTTTTCACAAAAAGACTATAATTCACGCATTTTCAAAAATTTTCACAATTTTTCACAAAAGACTATAATTCACGCATTTTCAAAATTTTCACAATTTTTTACAAAAAGACTATAATTCACGCATTTTCAAAAATTTTCACAATTTTTCACAAAAAGACTATAATTCACACATTTTCAAAAATTTTCACAATTTTTCACAAAAAGACTATAATTCACGCATTTTCAAAAATTTTCACAATTATTTACAAAAAACTATAATTTACGCATTTTCAAAAGTTTTCACAATTTTCAAAAAATACTATAATTCACGATTTTCAAAAATTTTCACAATTTTTACAATTTTAAAAAAGACTATAATTCACATTTTCAAAAATTTTCACAATTTTTAC